GTACCATCCTAAAAGCATCTGTAATGGAATTTTGGTAGATAAACCTCTGACTCCCACAATATTATCTTTCCCTTGTAACTACACCGGTTCCTACACCAGAGGAAGGCAATTTGATACCACTTGAAACTGGACATTTATTTCCCAAAAGTTGTCACCCTCTCGTCCAATAGATAAAATTATCCAGTTTGGCCTCTAATTGCTTTCTGTGTGTAATCCAACAGCTAAATTAATATCCAGCACTGTCAATATAAAGATTGCATTCTAAATCTCTGAGGTCCACCTCCAGGAAGCCCAGTGAACTTCACACAGCAAAGAGACAGTTTTAAGTTCACAAAGGCGGTCGCTCACATTTTCAAAATAGACTATATTTATCATCTGCTATTAGTTTTCTGATCCTTAATAAGTCCAGGAGCCATTCAGGGTGACATCTAATGCCAAATTAACCCTATTCAGGATATGGAAAACTGTTCCTCAACACTGCATCTTAAGCCAACATGTAGCCTACATGAATCAAAGATCAAGACACCCTCACCTCTACCCTGCCTGTTTTTTATAACAATTTACCCAACAAAGTGATCTGCAGATCTCGAAAGCTTGCTCATATTTTTGTGCCTTTTGATTGACTGACAAAACTATTAATACAACATGATTGATTACAATTTACTGCCAGCAAGGGTATCACAGCTTTCTGTCAGTCTCGTTGAGTACAGGATTTCAGCGTACCCTAACGAAAACATTCTTGCTTCTATGATAGCATATTTTATGCACATGTACATCTATGTATTAGCCAACCACCTTTTTCTTTTATACTAATCTACACTGAAATCCTAAACATACAGTCACGGAATACATGAGTTGGAAGGCCCTTAAAATGTCATTAAGTCCAATCCTTTGCTCAGTGCAGGAATCCAAATCAAAGTAGACAGATGGGTGTCCAGTTTTGTCTTAAATGTCTCCAGCGCTGAAGCCTCCACCTCATGAGGTAACTGGTTCCATTGTTGTACAGCTCTAACAGTTAAGAAGTTCTTTTCCTAATATTCAGCCTAAATCTGGCTTCCTGTATCTTGAGCCCATTATTATGTGTCCTTCACTCTGAGACGATCAAGAACAGATCCTGCCCCTCCTCTGTAGGTCCACCTTTCAAGTATTCGAAAAGTGTTACCCTATCTCCCTTTGGTCATCTTTTCTCAAGACTAAGCATGCCCAATTCTTTCAGTCTTTCTTCACAGGGCTTGGTTTCCAGTCCTCTGATGATCCTTGTCACCCTCCTCAGCATTTGTTCCAGTTTATTGACATTCTTCTTTAGTGTCCAGTAACCTGAATGCAAACTTGACTGGAGTCATTGGAACTTATTTTTGAGTAGACATCAACAGGGCTGCGCTGTCAGTTGGTGTCGCTTCTGAACCAGAACGGCATGCTTTATGGTCTTTTCCCCAAATACACTTATCTCTGGAATAAGTGTTTCTTGCATTGAAAGAAAAGGTATAGTCATCTTTTCCCCCTCTCCCGTCTTCCAGACATGATCATCTCCATATGCATTCAAGCTGAGAACTTCTTATTCCTTTTTTAAAATAACATAGTGACATAGTTCTGTGCTTTCCTTTTTTCTCCCAGCTCAGTCTTACAAATTATCTACGGCCACAGTCATATCACCTCCTAAAATAATTTCCTCGGCTGCAATGTATGAATGTTTCCAAGGCTCCAACAGAAATCATAATCTTTTTTTCTTGCTACTGAGCATACACACAGCCCAACCTCCATTTCTTTTTCAATGCCTTGCATAACAATATTTCCATCTGCTTGATTCAAAAACATCTATCATTAACCTCTAAACTAAGTTTCTCTACAAAAAAAGCGGAGAGCCGTTCCTTTTTCCTTCCTCTGCTTTATCAGATGCCACGTATAATTGCTCCTGTTTGCTATTTCCCAATATTTGTGAGATGGCTTTTCTGAGTATGTTATTATTCACTTTTCTTTCATACAATTTCGTATGCACTGCGTTCTGCTTATAAATATTATTTAATTCACTTGCATTGATTGGAGGAGTGCCACAACTTACGTGCCTCGCTGCTTGCTGGCACGATCACGTAACACTGAAATAAAATTAGGGATTAATAGGGAATGGTCAAAACAAGGAAATATTGTAGAATCATAGAATAATTGAGTTGGAAGGGACCTGTAAGGTCATTGAGTCCAACCTCTTGCTCAATGCATGTATTCAAGTTAAAGTATATGGGACAGATGGTTGTCTAACCTTCTCTTGAATGCCTCCAGCTTTGGACCACTCACCGCCTTGTGAGGTCATTGGTTCCATTGTCATACTGCTCAAACAGTTAATAACTTTTTTCCTGGTATTCTGCCTAAATCTGTCTTCTTGTACCTTGAGTCCTTTATTATGTATCATGCACTCTGGTGTGATCAAGAACAGATCCTGCCCTTCCTTTGTAGATTGCATTTCAGGTATTTGAAAAGTGTTAGCCTATCTCCCCCTCATTTTTTTTCCAAGCCCAAGCATGCCCAGTTCTTCTGTATTATCTGTTTTGAAACTCAGGTCCACATGATGGAGAGGGTTGGGATGGGGTGAGAAGCCCATTGACCAGCAAAGAGGACTTTGCCTGGGAGGGGATATTCACCTCAGTAGCTTTAGTTGCTTCTGTGGACAACTTCACAGGCATGGATCGACCAGGTAAAGCTTCTATTCGATTTCCTTGAGTTGGAGTGAGCAATGACTGAAGATTTGGGATCTGTTGTTGCCCCCTCTTCAGCCCCAAAACATACTAACTCTGACTCCCCAAAACCCCTTCCAGGTTTTGCTCCCTAATTTTAAATCACTGTCCCCCAAAAGCCTTTTTAAAAAAGGAACAGGAAGTCAACAGATGATCATTTTTGATTGACATTTTAAGGCCCCAAATGCCCCGGGGGCAAAATATCATTTCTTTGGTTTAAGGACTCACCCCCTAGGTTTCTGGGGCACCATTTACATTTGGAGTATGTGTGCAAGTTGGGAGATATGGAGGGCCACACACCATGCCTTGAAGGGCCCAAGTACCCCACAGACTACACTTTTCCCGTCACTTATCTTTTTTCATCCTGGATTTTGACATATTTCCCTTCCCATGGAAGCCTACCTGAAGGAAAAATAAATGAAAGAACTTCTCTTTGAAGGGAGAGTAAGATGTGCACCATTGCCTAATTTGGCTGGTTTGAGTCCGTTGGGTTTGGGAAGCTGTAGAAGATCTGTATTAACAATAAAATCTCTATTTTATGTATCCCATCACACTGGATTCCCAACCCACATGGGGTATATCAGCTTGTCATCTGTCACCTGTTTTGATGTGAACTTCCTTTGGTTGGCCTGTGTGTTCTTAGATACTTATTTGCTTTTGATCCTGCAACAATCAGCCATATGCCTTTGTAGACCTTTCTCATTCTGCAGATAAGGGTTTAAACTGTTTTCTGCTCCTTTTTATGCATCCACCTGGTACATGGAAACAACCTAAAGATGGAACTGATTCTCCCTCCCCCCAAAATGTTCTCTCCTTTCTTTAATCCCCTGGAGTTATGGAGCCATGATGCAGATGTTTGAAGAGCTATGCAAATATCAGTGCTTCAGAAGTGCAAAAAAGGGGGGGGGAAAGGCATCTTTAGTCTTGCTCATTAAAAACCCATTACCATGCGGCGCATAAGGACCAACTCATTTTCCAAAGAAGGCAGCTGGAGGTTGCTTCTGAGCATGCACTCAGAGAGGATGGATGCCATATTATAGAGTGTAGCAAAAGATCAAGCGAACCCACCCCCCGAAAACACAGAACAAAATCATTTGCACGAAAACAGCCATGATAGCGAAAGGTGATGCATGCTCAAAAGTATGTCTTTTAAGACAGAAAATCCAAGTGTGTCAGATGTCTTTGTTTCTTTTTCAGGTTGTATAGATTCCAAGTTTTCAAGCAGACACACAGTTCCTCCCACCCTCCACCCCCAACTCCGTCCACCTTTCTCCCTCTCTCTCTCTCTCTTTATCTCACATAGAAATAGAATGCCATGTGCTGTTTCCTGGAAAGCTGGATTCATATATTAACAGTTCCAGAAATTATTTTGTGTATGGTGTGAAGCACAGGTGATATCTAGGATAATTATTCCAAATTTGACAGAATCTCAAAAAAAGAGGATCTACCTCTGATCTGCTTGAATCTTTTCCTTTGTGATGCAATGGTGTACTCTGTTACATCAATATATGACACAATAGCTCTGTGATTTAGGTCTCTGGCTGCAGAATCAAAAGTTGTTGGTGCCTCCTTGATGGGCTGGACTTGATGAGTCAGAGGGTCTCTTCCAGCTGTGCAGTTCTCAGATTATTAAGTAAGGAGAAAGCTGAAATGCTGTCAAGGGAGAAACTGAAGTGGGCTATCCATCCACCTCTTCCCAGTCCAACACCTCCTCTCTTTGGCCCTTCAGTTTCAATGTTCTAATCATTAAACTAAAATCTCATTTGTTTTCTATGCAAAACACAAGAGCCAGTATCCTGTCTTATTTCAGTATTCCACGAAGCATGTAAAGATGTATGATCTCTACATGACACTGCTAAGAAATCCAGCAGAGAGAATACCACGAGGTGTTCACTTTCCATGGGTGGAGTCAGGGAGGAACCTTGTGACTAAGAGAACCTCCATGAGAACATGTCCCAGCCTTTGAAAAAACTAGCACATCAGGAAGAAGAGTCATGTCATGTAAGGTTGCATTCCAGGTGCAGGTATGTGTATGTATAAGTCAAAGAGGGACTCAACCATACAACACCATCCTGGTCCAATGTATAGCTAGAAGTAGGACAATTCTAACCTATGGCCTGATGTTTGTGCAGGCAGAGCAACCACCTTATCTGACCACCATCCAGGAGCTAAGGTGGAACCTGGACACTGTTCTCCTGTTTCATTCAACCATGGCAGATGCTTGTGCAGTTCTGCTAACCTCAACTTTGCTGGGTCTTGTTCTCTGTTATGCAGGTTGGAGGACACACCATGCTCCCCATCCGTTGGATGCCGCCTGAGAGCATCATGTACCGGAAATTCACAACAGAGAGTGATGTCTGGAGTTTTGGGGTTATCCTCTGGGAGATATTCACTTACGGGAAGCAACCCTGGTTCCAGCTGTCAAACACAGAGGTATCTGACATACCAAGGCTCAGCAGAAATAATATCCGGACATGGCAAAGGAAGGTGTCATCGACCCATTAGTTGTTTGGGTTCATGGCTGGGGAAACACTTCTAGAAATCTTAGAAAGCCTCCAAGAAGGGCCGTCGTAGGTCCTAAGAGTCTTGACAGCTTGCAATTATCACTTTAAATGAGAAAAGGAAGTAGGAATACCATTTTTAACCAGGAAAATATACAAAAGGTAGAAACCAAAACCCAATGTTTCTCCTAGAAACCTTGGGGTCCTTTAAGGGATGGATGGGCAACTTCTAAGAGGTTGACCTTTGACATTTGTTTCTCCCTCTCCTGCTCTTCAGGTGTGGGGGAATCCTCCTTTTTTTTTTTAAGGCGGCCGATTTCTGGAATGGGGGAAAGACTTTAAATGACAATGGATACCTTCCAAGGCTTTAGGGGTGCAATCTGCCATTTTGTTACCAAGTTGGGGTGTGTGTCAGGGGTTGAGGTTCCTCCAGTAGGCATGGAGGGAGCCCACTCAGCTTTAAGCTGCAGCTTGCCCAACCTTTGCTATGAGAATTGAACAGCTTGTACCCATCACCCAATAACAGGGCTGGAAGACCATTGTATAAGCTGCAGCTTCACAAAGTTCACCTTCCCTGGTTCCATCACTCTCAGCTTTGCGGTGAAATAGTATGGCTGGCCTGCCAGGTTTTTAATCACACACCCTTCTTGTGCATTGAGAACCAAGGAAATTCTACATAGGAAGCCTCTCCAATTCCTCAAATATCCCTCCTGTCACCTCAGTTCCATGTTTCTGGGCCTTTCCCCCCAAAGTGTAAATCTTCCCTCATCTTATCCTCTCACTTAAGGATTCGAGGACCTCAGCGAGGATCATATGGAATTTCCTGACACCATTGATAAAGTCCTTGCAAATGGTGAGAGTAGTTCATGCATGTGCAGTCATGTGTGTGCGCATGGACACTCTCGTACTTGTGCAAAATGAATTATTTTGTGAAAAAGTGCACAAATCCTGAAAGTTTCCAGGATGCCGGTCACCTTCTTTAAGAATTTTATAATCCACAAATAGGTTGTTTTTAGCTTTAGTGACAATCATCCAGTGGCTCTGTGCTTCAGAGAGAGAGAGAGAGAGAGAGACTTAAAAGAAAACAAAAGAAAAAAGAGATCAGGAGGATATTCTGCAAATTATGGAGACTCTGAGAGGAAAGAAAAAGCATTATTTGTCTGGCTCTCAGCTAGTCTCAAAAGAAAAAAGAGATCAGGAAGATATTCTGCAAATTATGGAGACTTTGAGAAGAAAGGAAAAGCATTATTTGTCTGGCTCTCAGCTAGAAGTTAGTCAACCGGTGAAGATTTAAAGTTCCCCATCTAGGTATATTCTTGTGTCAAGAAATGCAGTGTTGTTGTTTTTCCCCCCTTGTGATTCTGTTACAGAACATAGAATAGTCAAAAAAGAGATCAGGAAGATATTCTGCAAATTATGGAGACTTTGAGAAGAAAGGAAAAGCATTATTTGTCTGGCTCTCAGCTAGAAGTTAGTCAACCGGTGAAGATTTAAAGTTCCCCATCTAGGTATATTCTTGTGTCAAGAAATGCAGTGTTGTTGTTTTTCCCCCCTTGTGATTCTGTTACAGAACATAGAATAGTCAGTGATGGGTCCTCCAGTCTTCTTTGAGCAATTAGTAATGCACTCCAAATTGGGATCAAGACCTACAAAAACATCCAGAGCTACGGTAGAGGATAGGATAGCTGGATCAAGACAAAAGGGAAAGGTTGTGAACCTAAATGAGATTCATCTCCTGTGTTCTCTGTTGCAGGTCATTGAGTGCATCACCCAAGGCCGCGTCTTAGAGAGGCCTCGGGTGTGTCCCAAGGAGGTTTATGACATCATGCTGGGCTGTTGGCAGAGAGAACCTCAGCAACGTCTGAACATCAAGGAGATCTACAAGATCCTTCATGCTCTGGGCAAAGCGACACCAATCTACCTGGACATCCTTGGCTAGCAGTGGCCACTTTTTCTGAAATACTTGCTCTCTCCTTCTTCTCCCTTCCCTACCTCTCCCTTGACCTCAAGCCAACATATTCATATAAACTCAAGTGCCTGCTACACATACAACACTGAAAGAGAGAGAGAGAGACTGGGAGAGAGAGAGAGAGAGAAGACAAATAAACCTGGAAAGGCCCCATCAACCAACCTGGTTTGGCTTATATATAGATATCTAGAGATAATATATAGAGAGATATGCACCTTCCACATCAGTAGCTACTGTTACAGAAAAGGTGAAACAGTAGAAAGAAAGAAAGAAAGAAATGAATGAACAAACGAACGAACAAACGAATGAACACTCTTCAGTATTAAAAAGAAAGAAAAACAGAATGTTTGACTTAACTGTGTGAAACTGTGAATCCTGCTGTGTTCATTTGACTCAACCCACTTGGGAATGCGAAGAGATAATCCTGCAACAGGAGACAGTGCTGGGGAGGCAGTTACTGCACTGTATGGAATAAATCCCATGGCACGGAACCTGCAAAGACTGGGCTCCAGTACAGAGTGAGGCCCTTTGGATAAATAGCCTTTTGCTGATTCCAGCCCACCCACCCACCTTCCCTCTTATTTCTTCTCCTCTCTTTTATCCATTGGGGGCAAGAGGCTGCCCCAAATCCGCCTTACCCCACGTTGGACACGCTGCAGTTGGGAAAGGTTTACAGTACAAAAGGCTTACGTCACCGACGGGGTCCAAACAACGAAGCAACAAAACATCAGAAAGCAGCCACCTGGCTGCATGGAAACAAGTATGGATGTACAGTATTCTCTCTCTCTTTTTCTTTCTCTCTCTCTCCCCTTTAATTTTATTTTTAAAGAAAAGAAATTGTGGGATGGATGCTGAGCAGCCACCTGCCAGAGAGATACAGGCAAATGGTCTAATGAGGCCATTTGGGCCATTGATTCTCCAGATCTTACTGTTATGTCTACAAAGACCAGGTGCTTACAAATGTAACTTCCTCACCGCCCTTGGTCCAAACAGGGATTGCTTGGAAGCTGCGGTCTTAATGGAGATGGGCTGGGAGCCGAAAGATCACCTCAACCCTTCACAGTCACAATTGCATGTGTGCACATGCGCGCATGCACACATCCACACAATTTGATCCTTTTTTCCCCTCCTTATTACTGTTTCTGATGGTTTATATCACCCTTTTCTTTTTCTTGTACAAAATACTTTGCCCTCCTGATGTGGGTATCATTGCGCAACATCCATCACCATGTTCAAAAGGGTGCTGAGAGGGCCGTCAAAGTGATGAGGAGAGAGAGAGAGACTTTTCAGAAGGTTGCACAGTGAGTTTATGGTGAAGCACAAAAGCTGAACTTAGATGTCCCACAGGTCATGTCCCGTCACTGCGTCTTAAACAGAGCTGGTCTGACCATATGGCCAAGTGAGGTATTTGCCATAGGTGGGAGATATTAAAACGAGACAGCAGAACACTGGTGGAGATAACGTATAAGCTACATAGCCAGTCCTTCACCTCCCAAACTAACCTGATATCTACAGATATGGTGGAAATATTTGGCCCATTTTTGAAGACAGAGTTGACTGAGGATCTGGTTGCACATGGAATCGGAGGGTCTGTAAGGTGGTTCCTCATGCAGCGAAATGTTCTAGGTTGGCCCTGATACTGATTCACTCTCTTACTTTTCCAAGTTCACTGAAGTTTAAGATCAGGCTGGAATGCAATAGGGAGCGGACCTCTCATGTGAAGAAGTTTGTTGGCTACTGATGGTTGTTGTGCATTTTTCCGGCTCTTTGGCCGTGTTCTGAAGGTTGTTCTTCCTAATGTGCTCCTGTCCTCTGAAGATTCTGGCCACAGAGACTGTTAGGAAGAACAACCTTCAGAACACGGCCCGAAAAACCCACAACTACCATTAGATCACGGCCGTGAAAGCCTTCGTGAATACTCTGTTGGTTACATTTTCTCCTTCTTTGCCCCTGTTTGTTGCTCCCCTGTTTTCTGTTCCATACATTTCTTCCCAATATAGCTGGCAGAAAAATGGCTTCAAAAGTAGCTTGAATTTGTAGGCATCTCCTCCCCTCCTCCCTTTTACTCTTCTCCCCTTCCAGTCAATGTTCTTCACATGCTGGCAGCTCTCTGAAACAAGGGAGAATGCTTAAGGCCGGGAAGGATAGAGAGAAGATCCATTTGGGGGGGGGGCTACAGTTCAATCAGTAGTCACACTGGCCAGCCTTGCCTCTCAAGGCAAAGAATAGAATCACAGAGCTGGAAGGAGCAACTGGAAATGCTGGGAATCCACAGCTGTAAGTATCTCTAATTGTTCACTTTCCAACTTTTGGTTGATAACCTATAGGTCAGTGTTTTAGGAATCTGGTTGCAGAGCCCGAGGTTGGGAGTTCGATTCCCCCACTGGGCCTCCTTGACCAGAGCTGGACTCGATGATCCAGAAGGTCCCTTCCAGCTCTGCAGTTCTAAGATTATTATTATTATTATAACCTACAATGGAGGAGAATCCATCTCCTTCCACTGTCAAGCTTCTCCCACCACCATCACTAGGAAGTTCTTCCTTATATTTAGTCACAATCTCCTTTCTTAAATTGGTATCCATTATCTCAGCCCACTCCTTCAAGGGAAAAAAAAACAATACCTGTGGCTGCAACAGTTGACAGGCCTTGAAGTATCTGAAAATGGAAGAGAGCAAAGAAATAATGAGGCCCTCCTTGACTGTTCCAACCTCCACCAAAGGGGACAATATCAAGCAGAAAAGGTCCGAAACCTGCTTGCATACAATATTAGGGGCATAAAGTATCTGTGCTTCATTCCTTCCCTGTCTAATCAGGTTTTTCATTATTTACTGTTCTATTAACTACAGTTATATTGATGTTTCTCTCTGAGTTCAGAGCATTTATGAACAGTTTCTCTCCTCCTGCTCTTTGCATCATTCACACAATAATCCTGTGAATTAGATCCGTCTCCAAGCGTGTACTGTTAAATCTAAAAGTAACTAGTTACAGTTATAATTTCAAGGTCTCCAAACTACAGTTACAGTTGCTAGTTACCTTCAGTGTCTTGTTAAGGCCAATGAGTAACTGGCCCCAGGTCACCTGGTGAGGTATTCAGATTACCAAGGACGTGGGGTTCAGTTCAGCAAGAACTGCTGTGAAGGATGAATGAGAGGTTGTGCAGCTACAATCATTGACTAGAGTTGTGTGTGACCCTTTACACACTCTTCGGGCTACTGTCACTAAACTAACACACCTTAGAGAGTGGACTCACCAGCATCTCTTCCTTCATGGAAGCTCGGCTGCGGAACAAGTTCTATGTGGTTCATAGCTGAGATTTTGCTTTGCACCACTATGGACAAGGATCCCAGAGGAGGGGAGGTGTGAGGGCAATTACTAAAGCCAGAGCATCCCCAGCATTTGTGCAGTCAGGAGAACTGACTGTGATGATGTTTGGGGCTTCTCAACCATGCAGTCTTCAGCCATGATTTCAACAGCTATTTCTTCTCTCCAGGGAGTCACTATGACCATCTGTTGGGAAGGGGGTGAGATCTCCTCCAGAGAAGCTTCTGCACCCCGTTGGGAAGGGGGTGGGGCGGCAGAGATCTCCTCCAGAGAAGCTTCTGCACCCTTGTGAAAACCAAAATTCTCAGGATACTTCGGGAGAAGCCATGGCTGTTAAAAGCAGTGTTAAAAAGATATGTGTGTTTGTAACATGCATATACATATCAGGTGATTTCTTGGGCTCTTTACTGGAGGTGGACATGAGCGGCTGATTTGGCAGTTCTTGCCAGTTCCATCCTGTGGAAGAACTGGTGTTTGGCAGGTCCCAGCCCTGCCTCCTCTGTTAGGCGCCCAACTCAGAGGCACAACCACAGATTCCCTACCCCGCCTCCTCCTGGCACTGCCTCTGAGTGAGTGCTCATCAGAGGCAGCAGGCTGGGAAGTGCTCAATACTTGTTGGCCTGAGAAAGGAACTAGCAGGAACCACCGAAAACTCCTTCCTTTTTTCCAAATCAGCACTGCTGTGTCATATAATCCAGGGTGTATTATTCATACAGTGTTAAATCTGTGGGCCAAAAAGGATTCAGATGACCTCTACCCATGTGGAATTCTATAGTTACATTGCTGTTAGTGTGAACTTAACTAGGAGGAGATCTAAAGGTCCTAGAATAGAGGAATGGCCACTTATGCTCACCATTTTGTGTTGTATTGTGGCTGTGACATCTACGTATTTAGAATAACTTTCATGAATTGAGTCATTTGTAGAGACTGAGAAATGGCAGGGGAGATGTGAAAGATTCCAAGGTTGTTCAAAAAGAGGAAGATATCATAATCATCATCTATAGAGTACATTCAGTGGACACAGTGTACATATAGAGGGTTAGTCTGTGTTACCAAGGACCTAAGGGGTTAGATCCAGTTACTGTTCCCCAGTAGGTAAGACCTACTGAGCGAATGAATAAGATTTGTTAAGGCAACCCTTACATGTCATATTCATTCAGTGTGTCACTTCTAGCTGGGATTTAAAATTGGATTTAGCTATAATTTTTTTAGACAATCTGATGAAGGAACTAAAGAGGAAGGAAAGGAAAGACTATGAATGTCAGTGATCAATGAATGTGACAAATATAATTTGCACCCGTGTTGGCTTTTTCCACCTCAGATATGGGGATTCTTGTGTATAGGATAAAATTAAGAAGCAAGACCAGCAAAGGTTACTGAGAACCATTGTGGGTTTGGTGCCCTTGAAAATATAGTTTGGTGATTCAGGTTTCTGGTGGTAGAATCAGAGATTATGCATTCGATTGCAGCGATGCCTTCTGTGAACAAGAGCCAGCCTGGGTGGCCTTGGGCAAGCTGCACTGTCTCAGGGCACCCCCGGAAAAAGAGAATGGTCAACCATTTCTGAGTATTCTCTACCTGAAAAACCCTGAAAAGGGTCATCATACGTCAGACATGACTGTATGGCACTTGATTGTCATGGAAGTAGTTTATCAGGAACCTTAAAGTCAGGATTATAGATTGGGGAGTGCTTAACTTAGTGGGTGATGATGATAGGCGCTTTAAAGAAACATTAGCCTTCTGGAAAAGAAAGCCGTATATCTACCTTGGGAAGCTGCGTCTGTAAAGAAAAGAAAAAAACAAACCCAGCAAGGCGAAGCTGATTTTGAGCGTGTATTTGGACAAGGTGTGTTTTATTTATTTATTTATTTATCTAACTTATTTCTGGTCTTTCTCCCCCCCACACCTGGGAGTCAAGGGGGCTGAGAACAAGATTTTTTTCAAACAACTACATGTAAAACACAAAAATATGTGAAATATTAAAATCCATTCGAGCTGTTAGAAAAGAGCTGAAGCCCTTGGAGGAAAGATAGCATGCAATTGGTTTGTAATCGGAGCCGACAGAGAACGTTCCCAGGGCTGAAGTTATAGAGGAGAAGTTCTCACACGAGATACTGCTCTACAGATAGGAGTGTGGTGGAAGGTTGTGCTATTGATGTGGCTATGGTTGTAGATGAAAGGGCGAGCTCAGTGGTTTAAGTTTCTGGCTGGAGAGCCAGAAGTTGGGAGTTTGATTCCCCACTGGGTCTCTGGTGAGAAGAACTAGCCTGGGCAGCCTCGGGCAAGCTGTACAGTCCCAGGATGCACCCCCAGAAGAAGGGAATGGGAAAATATTTCTACCTGTTCTCTACCTGGAAAACTCTGAAAGAGGATCACCATAAGTCAGAATTGACCTGATGGCACATTTCTTATTCTTATTCGCCAGTCAGAGCTGTACCTGGTTTCTGCAATTCTGCCAGCTTGTATTGTGGCATGTTCTGTTGCATATGAATGGACTCTGGATTTTATTCTGTATGTTAAAGGAGCTATATAAAGTGCTTCTCATATAAAGTAAGGACTACAACCAGGAGCAGATTTGCTACCCTCTGAAACTGGAGTAACCAGCCTCCACCAGAGGGGGCTCTGTTTCCAGTGCATTGCTGACCAGTCATATCTTCCAATACCATGGATCTTGAGTACAGAATGGCACCCTTGAAAAACTATGAGATGCCGGTTGGCTCTGTAGTTGAGTCCCAAAGCTTGCCCATGGGCAAAAGCTAAACAGAAGGAACAAGAGACCAGCCCTATTGAAGTCGTATTCATCGAAGCTTTTGCAAAATCTGACTATAATCTTTAGCAAACACTGAGGGGAAACAAAGACAAGAAGGTAAAGCAAAGGCTTAAAACAAAAGAGATATTGGTGAAACATTGTTCAAATGCCAGCTTTTCTTGCCTGAAACACAGCGGTGAACTCTTGAGTGATGTGACAGACCAAAGGATAAGGGGAAGAACACGTAACAATAGGTCTCTCTCTCTCTCTCTCTCTCTCTCTCCATTCCACTTTTTAAAGGGAACCCCAATATCATGACCTCAGTGTTTGCAATTGGGCTTCAGCCCTTTTGCCCATGATGAAACACACAACCCAAAATTTCAAGCTTGGTAGGAAAAGTGAAGGCAGTATTGATTTTTAAATGTGGATGTCAGTCACATGCATTGTACCTGTCACTGCTTTATACTTGGGAGACTCTGTTAAGGATTAACTGGGTAGCTTTATTATGGTGACATGTTGTTAGAAAGAAGCATTTCACTCCCCTTTCTGTGCTAAGTCAGACATGGCAGGTGGGGGTTCATGGTACGAAGGTGGTGTTTATCTTTGTACAGATGGCCACGGGCATCTGGATTTCTGCTCACTTGTGTTATCTTTTAGGATTCAGTCAGGACCGTAATTCTTTTACTTGCAGATACTAGACGGTTTCAACACACTGTGC